TTGATGTAGTGGCATTTTAACCTTAAGTCTCTCTACAGGCTAGTATTATGCAACATATAGGCACACTAAAGGAGGACAATGATATGGAAACATGATTTGATGCATGTTCTTTGGCCAATGTCGGCTGATCACACCTTTTAGTTGAGTGCACAAAACTTGTCTAATGAGATGCTTTTAGGGTAGTTTTGGCACTTTGAATTGCAAGGAATTCAAAAGTAAGAATGGTGGTGTAGTTTTGAAGAAAAATGTCAATGTACAATCGGTCTTTCTTAATAAAAACCATGATACCGTTTGTTGGACTAAAAAACAGAGTTTGATTGCTACCTAAAAAAGAACCATTGAGATTGTTCTATCTCAAACTTGTCTTATTCGTTGGAGACGATTTCTTTTGTATACATATAGATGTATGCAATAATGATTTATTTGTCAATGGGGTACGGGTTATGTTACGTATGTAGGACGTAATACAGCAGGACCACAAAATGAGGGTTTTTTTAGGTATTTATCTAATTGTAGATGAGAGCTACACAAGTGGGATGTTGATCTTTTGGTTATGATGAAGGGAATCTTGAATGGTCACTAAAAGATTGGCCTAGTTTTGGAGTTTGGTCTTGCATAGGTTTTTGTTTTCTTCCTGGTTGATGCTACAATTGCCCCTGAATTATGGAAATCTCAATATCCTTCATTTCTTAATCTCAACTCTAATAGCTGGGGACGCCCTTTTGTCTTGATAAGGAACTTATGTGGCTATTCTCCATCCTATATTGATGTTTATAGCTTCTTATCTATGGTCGGTTCTCATTAGATATTGAAAGCCCTTTTATAAGTTAGAATTTTATATAGAAGTTTGTTCTTTTTAATTTGTTGTTTTTCAAGTATTGCGCTTCGGATATAGATCGCCTGTCCCAAATTCTCATGTTCCATTCTTGTCCATGAATCACATGAAGAGAAATTTTCAGAACGAGAATCCGTTCTTGAATTTAATATATATATATATATACACACATACATACACCACATATTTATTCCTCAGGCTTGAAGGTCTCTTTAGAATTAACCTTTTTAGTATGTTTTTAATGGTTTTAGGTGACTTATAAGTTGTTAGTCATGGGGAAGTTAAGACTGGGATAGGTGATTTCTCGCGAAGGTAGATTCTTGGTAAGTGATTGTTGAAAAAGATCATGATCAAACATTAAATGTAGAATGCCGATTTGTCGAGTACGGAATCTTTGGTTTCGGACCACAACTAGGGGGTACCCACTACCCAACAACATAAATAACATGTTGAATTTACTCGGGAAATTCTTAAAATTATGCTTAATGTTGTTCCAAATATGAAAAACATACTTCATGTTAATAAAAACCAAACAAATGTTGTATATCCAACCTGAGATATATAGGGTCTAGAGAATGTTTATGTATACAGACCTGAACTCTACCCATAAGGGTAAAACGATACTCCAATTAGCGCCCTTGGAAATACAAGGAAGTCACTCTAAGCATACTTAGATTTGGCAACAGGGGTATTTTTGAAAGTATTTAAAAGTTCAGCATATTTTTAGAGTGTAAATATGAAGTATACATTTTTTTATATTGGAGATAACTTTGAACATAGGTTTTGAAATATCACATTTAATTTTCCCATCTATGATTGGCTGGGTATATACCTTAAGGCAAATTAACATTTTCCCTTTCTCAAGGGAAATCCAATGGTCCCTTGCAAGCATATAAACTCAAACTCTATTAGTCCTTGGAGTTGATAAATAAATAAATTCTATATATATATATATATATATATATATATATATATGAAAGTTCAAATGAGTAAACAAAAAGGTTGAGAGGGTGCAAAAGAAGGTTCACATGTGAATCATTGGTAAAAGAAAACATGGGACTCACATATGAGTCGTTTTCCGTACATTCTCATCCTTTTACCGTTCTTATTTGAACCTTCACACACACGAACTCACATATAGTGATAAGTTTGGTTGGGGGGGGGGGGGGGTGAATTAGAGCGCACCACATGTCCATGACATTCATCATGAATGTTGTACAAATTTACGATGAATGAGGACATGTGTCGCGCTCTAGGTTGTCTAAGCTTTCATATATAAAAAATTTAATTATATACAAGATAATAGATGAAATGTGATTGGAAGAAAGAAGATAGATGAATAGTGTGCTCCAATAGTTTTGGAAGCGATGAGCAGTAACATTGTACTCATAATTGAAAACACAAGATAGTGAATTGGACTGTGTTTTTTTTCTTTTTTTTCAGCCAATGTTTTCTACCGAAATTATTTTGTCCAATCAAATACCCTGATTTATAGGCAACATGTATATAGTTGCTAGTTAGTTTAATCTATGGATTGCTATTTTTATAATGTATTTAATCCTAGGTGGTCCTCTTTGGTAATTAATGTACATACTTTCTGAATCTGTAGTTCCCTTTGTTTTTGTTAAGGTTTAAAAATATCAAGTATTGTAACTGTATCTTTGGATATTATATTTTATAGTTTGGTTTGTTATATGTATAGAGAGAGAAAGAGAGAGGAGGGGAGGGGGGGGGGGGGGGGGGTGTTTCAAGTGAACTATGGATTCACATATGTACTTATAGTTTGGATATTATATTTATTATAGTTTGCAGTTTTTACCTGAACCCGACTTTATATATGTAGGGAGAAGTTCATTTTAGAAGTGGTAAGTATTTGAGAAGTAAAGAAGTGATCTTAGCCCCTCATACGGTCAAGATTGATAAAAAAATGTGGCTTTGACTAGTCAAGATTTGCGGCTTTGACCGGTCCATCGAAAAATAAAAGGGTAATTTTGTAACTTTACAAACAGACCATAAACAAGTGTATATGTGAACCCATAGTTCATATGTGAATCACACACGTTCATATATGAATAAGTTAGTTAGTTCATTGTGAATCAATGAGTTCATATGTGAATCAGTTAATTAGTTAATATGTGAATTACATGGGTTGACATATGCATTTATTTTGCCACCTATTTGTAAAAGTTACAGTCAAAGCAACAAATCTTGATTAGATGAAGAGCTAGGATCGCTTCTCTACTTCTCAAATACTTATCACTTCCCAAATGAACCTATGGCTATATAGGCAAAAAATCGTATGAGAAGGAGAGTTAAAATGAGAAGAGTAAGAAAAAATATCAACCCTTGATCACCTTTAATCTCAAACCCACCATGAATCGCGCTTGCTATGGGGATTGATCCGATGCATCTCATCTTAATATGCATCTAAGGGTGAAGATCATTTCTAACGCTTCTCACCAGAATCCAACCCCATATATACACACATGCATGAGTATAAATATGAATACTATCATTTCTTAATACTATATATAGTGAATCTCATGTGAGACTATAATTTTAGGTATTTTAATTGCCTATTTTTTAGTTTACTTCCACATATATATATATATATTTTTTGTTTTTCTATTTTTATATCTTTTTCAATATGTTTATTCTATTTATTAAATGTACAAATTATCTTTGTTCTATTTTCAATTTTTACTCACTTTCAAAATAGACGTGGTAGAATAAGAGGCAAAAATGTAGCATCTATAATCAAATGACATTTTTAAAATGCATTTAAAATAAGTAAAAACATTTGATTGATGATAATAACTATAATAATTAAATGATAATAATAATAATAACTAGAACGACAATAAAATCAACATATTATTTACCCAAAAAACCAAAATAAGATATTTTAAATTATTTTCTATATTTAATAATATAATAATTAAAAAATGCGTTATAAAAAGAGTAAAAAACTATGGAACGTATCTTACGAATTCATAATATGATAAAATATGCATTAATTCAAGTTACATCCTCAATCATTCTGGTATAATATTTTTAGTTGAATAACTTAAATTTTGACATTAGTTGTTTAATTGATTCATATACAGGGTAGTCCATGCTGTCGCACAATCATATCTGAAATGAACCCATTATAGCATAACAATAGGCATTGGATATTCTCCTGTTAATTCTACTTTGATGTAATGATCATTATTAACATCTTCAATTGCACGATAACGGCATGTTCGTACCATGGTTAAAACGTGTAATATCACATTGTATTTTGATAGCAATTAAAACCCCCATATCAGACATAGTCATCCAATGCTCATATGGTGCAACTTTAATTTACCTAAATCGAATGTTTTTAACATTATTTTAAAACTTTATTACAAACAAATCTTATAAAATCCGATGAAATATCAACTACTTATGTGAGATTTTTAAATCCAATATTTGTAGGTTTTATTAAAATCCCATAGGATTTCAATTCCAGAATTTATGTTAAACAAAACAGCACAGGATTAGAATGAAATCCAATTACAAATCCTACCAAATCTTGCAAAGCAAACAAATCTATAAGATTTTCCAAAGGAACTAAATTAAATGGTGCGCTACAAAAAAATGGGTTTATAAGACACAAAATTTCTGAAAGTGTCCTAATAGACCGTTTTATAAGACATAGGACCAAAAAATAAAGCGTTCTACCTAAATGCTTTGTAATAAGTTTATAATACGCTTTTGAGCGTCTTAAGTATTTTAGAACACTTTGATACAAAATGTCGTATGTCATTTTTTTTGCTAATACGACATTTGTATCAAAAGTGTTTTAAATTTTTTGTTAAGATGGCCAAAAACGTTGTATAAACTTACTGCAACACATTTAGATAAACACTTTGTTTTTTATAAATTATATCTTAGAAAGCACTCTATTAAGATGCTTAGAACTCTAAGTCTTATAAATCCAATTTTGTTGTAGTGGTGGTTATTTGTTTATTAAACAAAAACAGAAGTCGAATACACTTAACCTAGATTCCAAACAGCCCTTAAAATCTAGTCTATCGACAACACAGGCTATATTCGTAAAATCCTATATAAAAAACAAATGTCTACTTATAGACATGCCATCACAACCCTCTCCTTTAATATGTTAAGCTTCAGAAATATGGAAGCAAAAGGATACACACAAGATGGTACAGTCAATCTTCGCAGACAACCTGTGATCTCTTCCAAAACTGGCAAATGGAAAGCTTGTGCTTTTCTAGTTGGTATTCCATTTCGAGATTCTATATATATGTGTGTGTGTGTATGTCCAATTAAGTTTACAACTTTATTAACAAGATTAATTGTGTTCTTTTTCTTGGTGAATCGATTGGAAAAAGGGTATGAAGCGTTCGAGAGGATGGCGTTTTATGGGGTGGCATCGAATCTTGTTGTATATTTAACAACACAATTGCATGAAGATACGGTTTCATCGGTGAGGAATGTGAATAACTGGTCAGGTGCTGTGTGGATGACTCCGATCTTTGGTGCATATATTGCTGATTCTTATTTGGGTCGTTTTTGGACTTTCACTTTATCGTCTCTCGTCTATGTCTTGGTATGTAATACGCTTAAATCCTCCCCTTTATTTATTTCGATATATTTGTGTTAAATTAAAAACAAAACCGAAACCGTTCTTTTTTTTTATAAGGTTATGGTTTTGCTTCAAAGGAGGTTGCTTTTTTGTGTGTGTGATTTCGTTCATTAGTTTTTTCTTCAAATAGTGGATAAAAGAAAAAGAAAAACCATTGGCTTGTGTTTCTTTTGGCCATCTATAGTTATGTGTACAATAATTTGCATGAATTGTCGACTTCAATCTTGGTTTCTTTGAGTTTAAATACTAATCATGATCGATTATGTCAAAAAGTACGTTTAGAAACGTCTGAAATCGTATATATACTTCCTGCAATTCATCTTTAGGGCATGCATGCAGTATAAGTACCGTTTCTTATGATCAGATTTGAATAGCTGCTACTGAAAATTTATACGATTATCGATGTGGCTAACGTTTAGTGGTTAAAAAATGGGGTTTTCAGGGGATGGTTTTATTGACTTTGGCAGTTTCCATCAAATTCTTGAAGCCAAAATGCAGAAATGGAGTATGCAACAAAGCCACCACTTCTCAAATTGCATTTTTCTACTCATCTTTATACATCATAGCCATAGGTGCAGGTGGGACCAAGCCCAATATTTCAACTTTTGGTGCTGACCAATTTGATGATTTTGACCCTTATGAGAAAAGACTTAAAGCATCTTTTTTCAACTGGTGGATGTTCAGCAGCTTCACTGGTGCACTGGTTGCCACCCTTGGTTTGGTTTATATTCAAGAAAACTTGGGTTGGGGTCTTGGTTATGGTATTCCAACAATTGGTCTCATTTTGTCACTTCTTATCTTCTACATTGGTACCCCTATTTATAGGCATAAAGTAAGGAAAACCAAGAGTCCCGCCGGCGAATTCTTTCGGGTTGTTAGGGCGGCATTCGCCAATCGCCACCGTGAACAACCGCGTGACTCGTCAGAGCTTCACGAGTTCGATTTGCAACATTATGTCGATAGCGGGAAACGTCAAGTTTATCACACTCCAATTTTCAGGTATTAATTTACTAGCTTTTCTTTCTTGTATTAACATGTACATCTTGTCTTCTAAAACACCCATTACTATACACTATTAAAAAACCGACTTCTTATAAGATGCAAACAACGTCTAAATGTCATAATCTAGAAGACTTAAGTTTATAAAATCAAACTGTTATGTGTTCTATGTAAATATGTTAAAATTAGATGTCATAACGTATTTGGGTATCCAACCAAGCTTTTAAATACACTTTTGAAAGTAATACAGTGTGTCATTATTTGTTTTATACGACACTTTTGAGAAATCTTTTTTTATAAAAAATTTGTGTTTATAAGACATTTTTTCAAAGTGTCATTAAAAAATATAATGTCATATTTTAAAATTGACATAAAAACTTGTTATAACATCAAAAAAACGGCATATCAACATATTAGAACACATTTACATATATAGGACACACAATTATTTGTTTCTATAAATTTAAGTCCTGTTTAGATATAATACATTTTTTATATCCTATAAAATCGATATTGCTCCATAAAACACCTAAAAATACCAGTTATTCTTCAAATGGTTTTAGATAATGCTCCATAAAACACCTAAAAATACCAGTTATTCTACAAATGGTTTTAGATAAAACTAGGGTTGTAGTTGGCGTCAGCATCCAACTTGTTGATTGGACCATACCTAGCTCTTATAAAGCGACCCACACGATGAAAGATAGTCATGGTGGACACTCATATTCAATACCAAATATGACTTTATATATCATAAAGTGTATTAAAAACGAAGGGGTAGAAATGGAATTTCACTGTAGATGCAAGATAATGGGGATTCACAAGTATTGGGGTTTGGGTTGGGGATGACTCATTCATGGTGTCCATAGGAACTAGTTATAAGAAATGGGTCCATAGATATTAAATATTATGTTAAGTGGGTCCCATGTAACATCATGCACACATGCACCATCGATATCATATATCATCTTCCATTGAAAGGGTCGCCGGTAAAAAAAAAATATATATATTTTTATAACTGTGGATTTTGATGATGTTTTGTGTGTGACTGACTTAACTATTTTTAAGACCTGGTCGTAAATACAACAGTCAGGAAAATCTTCATGACTAAGTAAGCTCAAACTGGCCACCTAGCTATAGGAGTCCCAAGGTTTGGCTTTTGTTTGTCTGTTATTATCGTTAACATATGAAACGACAAATTTGCCCTCAATCAGGTTCTTGGACAAGGGTGCACTTAAAGAAGAAAACCATGGCATGCCACCATGCACAATTACTCAAGTGGAAGGAGCCAAGCTTGTTTTAGGGATGGGAATGATATGGCTTGTGACCTTGATTCCTAGCACCATTTGGGCACAAATCAACACCTTGTTTGTTAAACAAGGCACCACTTTGGACCGACATCTTGGATCGAGCTTTCAGTTACCCGCAGCGTCGTTAGGGAGTTTTGTTACCCTTTCTATGTTGATATCAGTACCAATGTACGATAGGTATTTCGTGCCTCTGATGCGCAAAAGAACTAATAACCCCAGAGGAATCACCATGCTCCAAAGGCTCGGGATTGGGTTCACAATTCAAGTTCTAGCCATAGCTATTGCTTATTTGGTTGAAGTTAGAAGAATGAAATCCATCAAATCCCACAATATTACAAGTCCCAAAGAAGATATCCCGATGACCATTTTTTGGTTAATGCCACAATACGTCCTACTAGGGGTTGCGGACGTTTTCAATGCCATTGGATTGTTGGAATTCTTCTATGATCAATCCCCCGAAGATATGCAAAGCCTTGGAACGACGTTTTTCACAAGTGGAATCGGCGTCGGCAACTTCTTGAACAGTTTCTTGGTGACAATGGTAGACAAGGTAACGAGCAAGGGCGGAAAGAAGAGTTGGATTGGGAAAAACCTAAACGATTCACATCTGGATTATTATTACGGATTTCTTTTGATCATTTCGATATTAAATTTGGGAGCTTTTTTGTGGGCATCAAAGAAATATGTTTATAAAAGAGAATCAAATGTAGAAGCAAAAGATGAAATGTTAGAAATGGAATCCAAACCCATGGAAGCCATACCATTAGGGTTACAAGTTTAAGATATAATCTGTAACCAATTATTATTAGTAAATGCATTAGAACCCCAAGAATGCAATTTCAGTGGCTTAGTGTATGATTTTAATAAAAGCCATTTTGTTTATATATTTGGTTATTTATTTATTTTGATTATTTTTATTGGTTTATAAGAAAAAAAATATGTTATTAGTTAATTTAAAAAACATTTATTAAAAATATTTTTACTATATTATAAAACATTTGACAAAAATTCTTAAAAATCACTTTTTATGCGTAAAGTACTGTTTATTAATGCATATTACTTAAAACTCAAGATTACAAGTAGATTGTGCGTAAGTACAACTTATTAAAGCTATATATCTGAATTCGTGTAACTAACTGTAGATAAACATAATAAAATACAAGATAAACATCTTATTTTAAATATAAAAAATTTCAAATATAATTAGGATAATCATTAAATTCTAACAAAATACTTAATTATTAT